GCCTTGTTTGAGGGTTTTTGCAAGTTTCCATTGTCTTGAACACTTGATACATTTGGAGTAGGGGCTGGGTTGAGCACTCACACACCATAGTCATCACGTTGTTGTTTTCATTCTCACCAACACCACCTACGAACACTTTTAAAAAACCAAACTCCTAAATTATTTGAGAAACCAGGTAGGGTCCTGTACCGAAAATGATAGTCATGTAAATTCGGCAAGGAAGGGCATCAAATCCCCAAGTTTTACGAGAAAGAATTTGAATAGGAATTTTTTTTTTCTTTTTCTTTTTTTTTAATAGTAAATTTTCCTAAGATAATTCAACTTCTTGTTTTGGACACGGTGTGAAATGTATGTTGTCTTTCTCATTGATTTATTGCATGTGAGGGCCTGAGGGACCACAAACTCTTGCATTCTTTAACGCAACGGCTACGCCAAAGCATCAATATGTTGCATTTCAACTTAAATGGCACGATGATTTGGGTTTTGTCAATTTTCCCTCTTAAGATTCTCAATCAATTGATTTCCGAGGATGTAACTTCACTGCTTGATCCTTTTAATAAATTTCGTGAATATTGTCAAAATAAAAAGAATTCTCAATCACTTTTCACAAATGGGATATCATTACCTTGAATTTTTCTCCGTTCCATCTGCTTTTCTTTTTGCTTTTCGTAGTTTGTCTCGTGTGATTTTTCTTATGAATGTGTGTCACGGGCTAAGTTTGAAAACCACCAAATTCAGAGGCACCTCATTCTTAGAATTTCAAGCAAAACTATTCATAGGGAGTGAACATTGCTTTCATTTATGCGTAAAAAAAGGGACATGTAACTATTGATTTGGAGTCTAATGCATAAATGTCGCGTCTATAAGTTTTAGGTTCATCTAGTGATTTGAAAAATGGATAGGTGAACTCGATGGAGCGTTGTAAAAATCGGTATGGATTGCCATTTTATTGCATGGAAAAAATAGTGAACAGGTGAATAAACATGTGAAAAAAAAAAATGAACCGCCCAAAAACCAGTTTGGATTGGTGAATCGATGTTTAACAAAATGTTGCTTTATTACAGCAAATCGCTTGTTTTCTTCTAGGCCCCGATGATTTCCTCATGTTGCCATGATTAGCATGGGATGACCGATTCCTCGAATTGACATAATTCGACCTCGAATTGACATAATTCGACCAGGCAATTATGTGCCGACCAAGCATTTTTTTAGATTAGTGGGTCAACCCATCGTATCCCTTCTAAATTTCCAGTAGTGTTACATGGATACTGATACGTGTCTAGTGCTTTGGGCCAAAAAGGAGGGCGACAATTCCGTAAAAAGTAAATGCAAAAGTTTCGTTATATAAACTGTACAAATAAAATTAAAACTCTCATGAAAAGAAAAGTACAAAGCACCGGAAAATCATAATATATAAAAGAATTTATGAAGTTTTAAACAGCATTAAGTAAATTTGTTTTTATTTTTCAAAATAATGCTATTTGTAATAGCTACTAAAAATTAAATTTCCTGAAGCCAAGTAGCAATTGCTGGTGACCCTTACTAGTAAATTGCAACTCGATATTAACTTTCTGGACTTTAATGCAACTTTATATCACAATTTTGAGACAGACATCTTGAAGGACACGATAAGGCAACAATTACATCTGTTAGCGGTACAAGACCCAAGAGAGAGGGAAAAAAAAAGAACAGGTATACTCTGCTCTCGTAGGAGCATACTATACATTTACTCCCTCACTCAAAACACCTAATTAGGATTTTTTTTTTCTTCTAAATTTTTTATGATCACAGAATAATTAATAGATGATTATTTTTAAAATAAAAATTTAAAATTTTGAGTCATTTGACACTTAAAGCATAAGATTTTTCTAACACATAGAGAGCTCCCTTTTAAAATTTTTTTTATTTTTATTTTTCTTACCGATATTTGTTTGGAGATTGTAAAAATCATATCCCAAAATTTAAGATCTAAACAGTATCCCTAGCATATATTTTGCCCGAGGGAGTAAATCGATAGGAGTGGAAAATCTTTTAAGAAAAAAACAAAAACTGAAAAAGAGCCAAATTCAAGCAGCCAAGTAAGACAGCTTTTCCAAAAATTTTGTTTTCCCGCAAACCTGTTTTTTATTGGGGTGTGGTTTGTACAAGGCCGACGTCGTAAACAATCAAAGTAAGACGCACCTTGAAATAGAAAGGTGCTATTTCAGTATTGGAAATTTGTGGTGGTATGAAACTTTATTTTCATTTTTAATTATAAAAATTAAAATTTAAAAAATAATATCAATCGAGCAAATTTATGAACATTTTATAAACTTGAAACTTGACGATCTAAAAAAATGCAATACAATATGTACTATTTTCAAGATTTGAAATGATATTTTTTTTCATGTTCATGCATCTTGAGGTTGAGATGACCTATTAGAGGATTTTCGAATATCGAAATAACCTCTTCTAGTGATTTTTTTTATTGTTTCAGGCATCACCCTTTTATAAACTTTTTCTTATTGTAATATAAGAAACGACAATAAAAATTTACTAGCGTTTTATTTTCTGGTTAGTAGCGTTTTATTTGCTTATACTTGACGCTTCATACTTGCATAACACGATCTTTGGAGCAAAGCTCTTGGTCTATATAAAAATTTATTTAAATAGTACAGTTCAATCTTCACCAATCGAAATGATTGCCCATTCAAAAAAGCCTTCAAATCGGGTTGATTCGCGACCCATAACCTCACCTGTCATGATCCATGAAAACCCTTCATAGGCTCAAGGAAACAAAAGATACAATACAATTTGACCCGACCTGTTGCAACTGCGACCAATCTAATTTTGCTTTGGATCAGATTACTTTAACAGGTTTTCAAGAACCAAGTCAAAGTCTACACGCTACAATAAATGCCAGTAATGGGCGGGCTCTTAGAAACTCAAAGGTTCAAGTCCTTGAATTTTTTCAACCAAATAGATATGTCTACCACCAAGACGAAGTCTAAGATCTACATGATATTTAATGGGGCAACTTAGCTAGCTGAGATGCTCCAAATTATGCGATTGTCTACAACCAAGACGAAGTCTAAGATCTACATGACATTTGATGGGGCAACTTAGCTAGTTGAGATGCTCCAAATTATGGGATTGTTTATAAAGAGGTTATTTATCTTTTGTACGTGGATGTCACAATCATTTTTGTCTTATAAGAGTGTCATTGAATAGACACAAAGTTTCAAAATAAATTTTTCAGACTTCATGACTCATCACAAACCATCCAATTTTACATCTAATTAATGAGAATGATTGTGACCTGATAAATGATATCTCAGTAGACAATCCTCCAAATTATTACTTGTTTCCTTTGAGGAGTGGCTTTGGACCTCTAACTGATACTGAAATTGGTGTTGTTGAATATCTTCTTTGGGGAATTGCTATTCATCAATACAAGGTCTTTCGAAAGTACCAAATGCCAAGTTACTCACGAAAGATGTACTGAGTTTTATGAAATATCGAGCCAGGCAATACCAAGTTAGGCTTTGAAATCACAATCTGAAATCTGATGACTTACTTGATTACTCTTGGAATACTGATTCCATAAAAGGTGAATTCCAAAATATTTTCTCTGCATATTTCATTGACTTATAAATTTAAAATTTTAAATATTTAGGATTACATAATTAGGTACGACACCACGTAGAATACATCAGCAGTACTTATTGCTATAATAAAAGACAAGGGGATTTAACCATTTTGCAGAACCTAATTTTTAGGCAAGCAAGACTGTAGCTATGCAACAAGGACCCGTGTCAATGTTTAGAAATGGATACCAGTTTCAAAAACACCGATTCTTCTTTTTTTTTTTTTTTTTTTATTCTGTAAACATTAAAGAAACTAAATTTAAAAACATTTGTACATAAAAAAGATGGGGTAGGATTTTATGTGATCTTAAGTACTTTTGCCGCACGCATACAATTAAAGCTAGTTAGATAAAGTACATATGTGCTTCAAAAGTCTTATATGTTCGTCCCACGCTAATGAAATAGAAAAGGAAGTTTTATAAGAGGGCAGTAAGACAATTATACTTTACAATACATAATGTTAAGCAGCTAGGAAACAATATACTTGTAGAATTGGTGTAACTTAACTGAGAATATTGAGATGGATAAATGGCAAAAAAGAAATGATAGAATTTGAAAATGAATACATCAAAAATAACTTAAATATGACTTCAATAAGTGATAAGATGAGAGAAAATAAACTGACAGTCTAGCAATGTCTTTTTCACTCAAAAAGATATAGATGAAAAATGGTGAGAAAAGACTTAGAGACCTATCGTATAATGCATGGTCCTTAACAGAAAGGAAGAATGGAACAAGATTCATACAACTAACCCTAAATACTAGGAATAAAGCCCGGATGATGACGACTAAGTACTTTTCCAACTAGATTTCAACAAAAAAGGTCTAGAATTATCTAATTTCTTAAGCGTCAAGCACAGTTATCATGTCTTTAGAATATCCACACATGCTAAAAACCATATACACAAGTTCATCTTGGATACTACAACCAAAATTATATACATGCCCAACTGCTCAACATGTTCACATGTAGATGGAAATAAAAAATTGTATACAATGAGACTATTTACTTTTGATACAAAGAGATCACAATTATTTACAACCATTCGAAGTGAAACCCAATAGTTTATATACGTCACAAAATTCGAAAAAATTACTTTTGAACTTTGAACTTGATCAATGGAATAAATACATCAATATTATTTCACATCCAATGGTCAAGATTATTTATGACCACCTTGTACCAAAGTTAAATAGTCTCATTGTATACTTTTTCTTGAAATAATGTCCATATGCACATTAATGAGAGAGATCTAATTAAGAGATACACATGCACATGATGTGTGCAAGTGGAAATATGGGAAAGTATTTGTTAGAGCGGGCGGCTTTTCTACCCCTCAAATCTCATCAAAAAGATGAACTTTCAACATCCAAAAACCTGCAAACCGATCATCTTGACCTCGAAAAAATAAAATTACAAACCATCAATAGGGTTTCGCTGGAACTGCAATTTCCAATGGGGTTGTGAAGCACAATATACCCAATGTAATAGAGCCACAGCCCTGCCCAAGCTACAGCCATAAAATAGTGACACTTTCATTACACTTCCAAACAAAGGAAAAGAGAAAAAAAAAACATAAAAACAGATAAACATCACCATAATGTAACTTTGCAAGAACTTGCACTCAAAACAAGGTGCAGGCACAGACGCCTTAAGGCAGTTCATATCAAAGGTGAACTTCCACATGCAGATGGTTTCTTCATCATCATCATAGCCTTTTCCCAATTGCAGATGGCCTCATCTTTACCCTAAAAACTTTGTCCAAAATATTAAGTGGACAAATGCAAAAGTTGGTACTGTTACACATGCAAAGGTTATGGCTTCATGAATGAGACACGTTTAGGTCACCAGTTACCTTAAACAAAAATGCATGCCAATATGTGGTTTAACCTTGAAAATAATACATTTCAAGATACAATATCTCAATCTAAAGGATAGAACATTTTCCCAGTCTTAGAGAGCTGAGCGTCCTGGTTCTCAAAGGCCAGTACCGAGCAAAAAACCCAAGACGAGGACGGTTGGGTTCTCTTCTATCTTCTTCTGACTCCCCCTCATCTTGAAGGCTTTCTTGCTTATCTGGATTTTCAGTTTCTTCTTCGTGGATTTCCTCTTTTTGGATTTCGTCTTTTGTTTCACCTCCAACATCTGAGATTTCTCCTGGCTTCTTATCAAAGAGGCCCTTGAATTGTTTCCGGGACTTAATTTGGACTTCCTGCACTTAGAAGAAAAACGAAATTGTTACTGTGATTTTCAGTACCTCTTTTTCTTTCAATATATCACCTGAGCCTAGGCAGGGCCCCCCAAGAGTGAAATGATTTGTCAAAATGAGGATAAGGACAAGTAATAAACAATGGATTTTAATGAGAAATAACTTTTTCATTTTTGGGTAGTTAATGTGAAACTTCAAAATTCTCAAAAAAATCAGGAGTGGTACAAAGATAATAAAAAAGAAGAGCAAAACTGAATTGTCCCACCTGTTCCTTTAACTTTAGTTTTTGCAGTGCAGCAGTTGCATCAGCTTCTGAGGATTTGTCGACTTTTATCATCTGTTTACCATCCCGAACAAAAAAAGAAAAAAATAAGAGCACAAGCATCCTTTATGTGGTGTTATAGCCTCATGTGTCTATGTAGGAAAGCACTTCGACATGCCAGCTCACATCGCAAATAGTTTATGCCCAATGGGTTAATCTGGGCCCATCAGGCTGCAAAAATGGTGTAGTCGTTAGAAATTGGAGTGATCTGAAGTTTAGAGGGTATGCATGTGTCTCACTTGGGTTCTCCTAAAAAGAAATTCAATAAATAAAAATAACCATAATACCCTGACTTATCAGCAATTATTTCAAGGTCATTTTGGTCAATTTATTTTTTGGGAATTAGTTTTCTATATTTTTTTAGAGATGCCCAGGTTGAGGTGCACAAATGCTCAAATTTTCAGGTCAGTCAATCCAATCTGTACAAAAATTAATTAATTAAATTCAAACATTAACACAACTGTAATTGTCCAATCAGCTCAAATGAAATCCGGGCCCTTGGGCATGCACTATCCTATATGCGAGTGTGTGTGTATGTGGAAAGAGAGAGGAGGGGGGAGGGGGGGGGGAGAGAGAGAGAGAGATGTCTGCAATGGAAATCACACCGTGTTAAAGTCATCCCGTGCTTCATCAAAATCTCCAACTGATGTGTATGCAATGCCACGGCGATAGAGAGCTTTCACATGCGCAGGACTAACATCCAATACCTGAAGACACAAACTTAGTGATCAGCTGTGTTTGCATAGAAGACTCTGGGAACAAGAGTAGAGGCTTATAACAAAAAAATTGAGCTCACAATCCCCTTGAGAATAGAAGTCCAGTAAACAGTTCAACTACAATCAACAATTGCATTTCTAACAGTAAAAGAATTCTAGCATGTAAAGGAAAGAGAAACTAAAAAAAAAATCTCCACCAACCTAACACATCATGGATTAATTGTAGATGACTAGATTATGATCAGACAAAAAGGATATGCTAATTCAAATGTTCATGAATAGGGAAAAAAAAAATGTTCTAAAATTTCAAGGCAGACAGCCATGAAGAACCACACTTGGAATAGCAAATCTGGTTACTGATAAAAAAGGAGAAAGAATTAGCACATTTCCAATTTTACCAAGCATCTTCTTTGATATGTTATTTTTCGATTTTAATAATAGCCATTTCAAATTATAGCCTTGACCTGAATAAAACATGATTTATGAAGTTTTGTCTGGGTTATAGTCTAACTTAAAGCTAAAACAACCAACTGCAAATATGCTCTACATCTTTCGGAAATTTGGGATTTATCTGGGCGAAAAAATGAAGCCCAAAACCAAAGGCTGCTATAGGTTTGATTATGTATGCTATAGGTTTCTCAGTCTAAATGGCTCGTGGCTAAACAGTTCTGCGCATTCTATAGCATTTTATTCATAGCCAGCATGTCAAATATAATTAAGCCCCACTATTTTCTGTTATCAGCAATTGTTTCTATAGACACCATTACGCATAAAACAGTTGAGCCAGGGTCTTCTTATAAACCCATGAAACTGAGAAGAACCACTTCCCACATGGGCCTTGGTTCAACAGAAGCAATATGGATGAAATTGAAGTCATAAGGATGCTTTGATACCCAGAGATATGGGAAACATAAAAAATAGTGCATATACCATGCTTCCTGAGGAGCATATTATACACCTACTCCTCAGGCAGATGACACAATTGTTACTCCATAGTGCAATTGTTTCTATAGACACCATTACGCATAAAACAGTTGAGCCAGGGTCTTCTTATAAACCCATGAAACTGAGTAAAACTACTTCGCACATGGGCCTTGGTTCAACAGAAGCAATATGGATGAAATTGAAGTGATAAGGATGCTTTGATGCCCAGAGATATGGGAAAATTAAAAAATAGTGCATATACCAAGCTTCCTGAGGAGCATATTATACACCTATTCCTCAGGCAGATGACACACTTGAGAGGATTTTTTCAATCTAAAATTTTGGGAACCACCTAAATTATTGGATGATTAGTTTCAAAAGATAAAATTTTAACTTTTAGTTTTTTCACACTCGTATATCACCCTTTAAAAAATGGACAGTCTTTGTTCAATTTTGAGACATTATTTTTTTCAAGTGCATAGAATATGATTTTGAAATATTTTTAATTATGATTACTCTATGGATTGAAGAAGTTAAATTCGGATACCTACAATTACTCCTAGATTGGGCTTTACCTGGGGGAGTAAATGGATTGTATATGCAGGAGCAATAAATCTTTTGGCAAATAAAAAAGCAGCCTGATGTTCAGCATGACCTTTATATACGTACTGCAATTTGAAGCACACCAAAGCATGTATCTTCTAAATCTAGGTCAAAAAAGAAATTAGAATTTTTTACTTTTCACAGATAAATTTCATATATTTGTTTTCTTCATGGCATCAGATAAATTTCATATATTTTGTTTCTGTCGCTACATCTCCATGATGGAATATTTAATGCCGTGGGACAAGGATTTTGGCCTATGATTCCCAAATACCTTGTTACATGTTTCGATAGATTTCCTGTATTCTCCCATTTTCTGAAGGCATGCCGCCACATTTAGATGGAGTGAGTTCTGCAAAAAAATCATGTTAGATTGATTCTATGACCTTACCTTTAGAATAGCAGTAAGCATGGGCAAAGAGAAACTTTTCTTGAATTACTTTCCCAGGAAATGTAGTAGAAATGAATCTGAGCATTTTATTGCAAACCTAATAATTATTCTTCATAAAGACGTATTATTAATAAGGGGAAAGCATACTTGAATGCAATGGCTCCTGGCTCACTGGGCTCATCACCATCTGAAGAAATGGACAGTGATAAAGAGAGTGGCCCCATAAGATCAGGACGCAACTCTAACTGCAGGTCACACTCCCTCACCGTCAATGTTATCTCACTGGACAGTGATGATCTCAATGGACATGAACCACATAAAAATTGAAAGGTCATTGCTTGAATTAAAACATGCAACAACATTTTATGTTCAATAGCAGAGATGCTTACTCTTGTGCTTACGAAAATTTTCCCTTCCTCATCATCTTGTGGGTTAACATGATTAAATTCCCGAAGTACCTGAAAAATTAAGCAAATGGCTCATCAAACTTGAAGCTCACCAAGATATTACCCAAATAAAAAAGAATAATAATAATAATAATACCTCCTCACAGAGATATTAGACTTGGGTTGCTAGTAGGAACCCAAGATTCAAATGCATGTCATCTAGATGCACAGGAGGAGAGCACAATTGTCAGAACTCGGAAGCAATAAACTCTCCAGCCACATGTTTCAGGTAAATATTAATTTACACAATGGGGATATATTATAATCCAGTGGACAATGTATCACCAGAATTATGACCGTCCAATCAATGTTGAATATTGGAGAGTGCAACCCCTCCACGGGTCATGCCCAGTTCTGGTGGGCATCACACTTTCTCTATCACCATACACTTCTTGGACGATGATCACCCAATGGACAATGGTTTCCACAGTCCTTTGGACTGTAATATACCTTTCTTTGCACATTCACATGGCAGGGACTTCAAATCTAGTGTACTTTCCTTATCCAATTCGCATGGTGCAGACTTCACATCTTGAAAACTCAAATATAGTTTATTACAAAATACAATTTGATCCATATGGTCATGATTTCAGAATGTTCCAAGGGCTACCCAATCCCATTAATATGTTGGAAAGTGAAGGAGGGTCCTACAAAATGTCATAAAACCAATAACTTGTATCCCACTCTTCCTCTATCACCAACAAACCATTTCTTTGATGGAGATGACTGTCAAGTCAAAATCGTTATCATGGCCGCATGGATTATACTATACTATTCCATTCTATGATAATAACTTCATATTTCAAGTTCATTCTGGTTCCTTTTCATTTCAAAAAGAGTGGTAAAAGTAACACCCCATTGCGAACAGGTGTAGATGGTACATGATAAAGCAGGAATATGTGGCAGCTTCATCATTCTCCCTACACTAGCTACATATTCTTAAGATAAATGAATTCTGTTTAAACTAATTCTGTTAATTTTATCCATTCTTTCATAGGATCAGCATTCTGGGTAAATAAATCTGCATAGAATTGTACCAAGTTAGCCTAAAAAAGTTGTTTAGTGCTTGCCTTCTCATACTTGGCCTTTGCAAGTTCATATTTTCCTTCTTTAAAAAGCCTGTTCCCCTGATTACAAGCAAAGCACTGCATCATTAGAGTTTCTACCTCATGACAATAATAAATCCATTCCATTCTATCAAATTGTCATATCCTATGATAGTCTCAAGTTTCAGATATTATGAAGATAATGATATGTGCAAGGCATCATTTAAAGCTATTATGTCATTTAGGAGCATGCAACTAGTCCAAGATGCGACAGTCAAGCTCAATGTGCATATTCACCAGGTCGAATGCTTCAGAAAACTAACGAAGCTATGACATCTTACCGTAACCTTAATCTTTTCTGCATCATCCATGATCTCATTGAAGCTTAAACCTGTCCAGTCCTGCAACATAAAAGCAAACGGAACAAATCAGAATCTTCGTAAGTACTGCCTTAGAAAGGATCTCCTAGCAAACCATAACCAAGGTTTAAAAACCAGATTCATGACCCGGATTGACCACCCCAAAAAAAGGTTTGGATCGGTGACTCGACGATCCAGATCGGCTGGTCTCGACCTCAAAAAAATTCAAAAAATACTAAAAATCCATGAAAATAGTGAGGTTTTAAGTTCCCAAACAAAATTGGGGGTGATGCATTATGTAGTTCATTATTTGACAAAAATACGTGAATATTGAGACATAGTTCCCCTGTCTGGATGTCTATTGACCATTAATTTGATGGTCCTCACCTAATTTGGGATCCAATTCATCAAACATTTATTAATTCTGTCTACTCAAACAAAATTATCACAACCTATCCAACTCTAGTACTATTCTCTAAAATTGGAATTATTATTTTATATATGAATAAATTTAAATTGTCTTATAATATCATCTAATTTAAAAAAAAATCTCAGCTACAACTATAACAAAAAAAAACACATTATGTAATTTATAATACAAACAAATTAATAAATAAAATACAGGATTTTGTTACTAAGTTGTAATTATAATAAAGAAAATAATGAGATTTTGTTATTAATTTATAATTAAAATATAATATAATAATGCACTAAACATGATTCAAAAAATATTAAACACAAACACTTACAAATTATACAATTTAAAACAATAAAACCCCTTATCAATTTCAATGTTACGATATTAAAAAAGATCTTCAAAACAACAATTTTCCCCCCTAAAAAGATGAAAAGGAAGGACATAAAATTCAAGACAATAAAAATAATATTAAATCATACAACATATGCATCAATAACCTAAATGCAATCCAAAGCCTTAATATTATGATATTAAAACAGATCTACAAAACAATGTTTTTTCCCCCTAAAAAAATGAAAAGGGACGACATAAAATTCAAGAAAAAAAAATATTGAATCATACAACATATGCATCAATAACCTAAATGCATCAAAAGCCCTAATATTATTCTGAAAATTATTTTTTTTTTAAAAACAACTTCTCAAAATCCTAAAAACCGGTCCACATTTTGGACCAAAATCCAAGCTCTTTTCGATTCTATATATTGTATTGGATCTTTAATGGAAGAAAGATCCACTACGATCATTTTGAATCATCATCATTGTCAAAGCCCTTTCCCAACTAATTGGGGTTGGCTACACGATTCCTGGTCTACCATTCTGCTCTATTAAAAGCCATAGCCTCAATGAGGCCTCAGGTACAACACGTAGCTTCTAGGGAAGACCCTAGCATAAGAAGATACTATAGGTTTAGGATTCATGATAAGTTTTAGCAAAGTTTTACGTTGGCTGCGATCATTTTGAATCAAATTTCTTTCTAGAAATTTGATTCAAATTTGAGGAAGAGAAGATTGAAATGGCAAAACCTTAATTTGTGGTAAATTCATGCAAAAAAAAAATTGTAGAAAAAAAAAAAAGAAATGAAAATTAAATTTACCTAATTTATATGAGAGCTAAAGCTCTATAGACCCCACTAAAATTCGATGAAAATCAACCCAAATTCGCACCGTTCTCTTCGATTTTGGTTGACTGTATAAATTTCAGGAACATTTTGGTTTCTTGGCTTTGGAAGCAAAATTGATGGGATATCCTAGTTCAATCGAACAAATTCGCACTAGAATATTGTGTATGAGTCAATTCTCTTCAATACAACCAAATTTTAGGAAATTTCATTACAAATCGAGGCTGAAATCAATGGGAGGGCAGATTTCTACAAAAGCTTCAAAGGTTTGATTGCCAAATCTCATATTGTTTCTCAAAATCCATATAATACTGATTATATAAGCAATTTTCAATTATTTTAGAGCAATAATTATCTAAAAATGGCTGCGAAGATCAAAAGATGCCAAAAATGGATCAGAAGCTTAAAAACCCATGAAAGCTTGGTGCCGAATACAAGAATTGCTGATCCCAGAGGGGCCATGGCCGGATTCCAATACATTGTGCGAAACGGTTCAGCAAAGACGATTCCCTATCCAGATCGGCCAATTTGAATCCGTATCGGCGATTTTTTAAACTTTTCCATGAACCAATGTTTAAAAAACGAATGGGTGGTGCAATCTACCATGAATACCGGTCCAAATCGGCTGAATTGGCGATCCGACTTGTTCTCGCATCATCTAGATTGGTGATCCAAAAAATAATAATAATAAAATAAAAATAAAAAAAGAGGTTTATAGGATGGGGATTTAGGGGAGACCACAGACAATATTAGATAAGCTTAAGGGAAAAAGGAAAAAAAAAATGAAGAGGGTTTTAGTGGGGAACCACGCCAGGACCCACATCATTCTGGAACCAATTCGGTCCTGGCCAATTCTGCATCTAGATCGGCAACCCGGATCGGAAATCACCGGGTTTTAAAACACTGCGATGAACAAAAAAACAGTACACTACAGGCACATAAGTTTTTCATTTTTGGTAATTAAAAGTTTTGTTCATTTATTTTGTAAAACCACAGCCATGGGCTTCAACCAATTACCACACCCAAATTGATGCCGAAGTATGTAAATTTACAAATAATCAGCATAAATTGAATAAAGTGCATATGGCAAGCTACAATATCTACAAACCTACTTTTGAAGTATCCATGTGGACAAAATAGGTGGCAACTGGATGGGGTACAATAAACATACTACATTATAGGACAGGAGTAGGAAACATCAGTTTTAGAAGGCTCAGGGTTGGGCTTGCAAGGATCCATGGAAGAGGGATGAACCAGCAGGCCCTGATAACCAGATTCTTTGAGCCTCTCATAATCAAATCCATGAAAATATTGTACGAAAAGAAAACCCAATGTTATGTGCTTGTTCAAGCAGACTAAATCACAAATCAATGACAAATATTCACGTTGAAAATTGGAAAGGCATTTTAATTATATAAACAGTGGACCACAACTAAACGAATTTCCGGCTACCAAGCAAACCCCAAGAAAAGTTATTAGGACCATAATCTGACTTACCTTTGGTTTCTCAAAATCAAGCAGCTCAATTTCCCACTGAACATGAGCACCTTCTGGAACATTATCAGGTCTGTTCATAAATAATATTTCATGTAAGAACAACTATGATAATTTTTGGGGAAGGAAGCTGGATTTGGGGAAGGAAGCTGGACGTTATGATGGACAAACTTCAAACTTCCAAACTCCCCCATATAGACTGTGTTTCAATCCATTAGACCAAAGGGCATCCTATAGTAGATTTTGTATGGAAAAAATATATCATAATCAAATGGAGTAATACTCCAAAGGGGCATCTAGCATTCATTCCCAATTACAAGAGACAAGATTAATTGGACCGACGTGCATGTCCCAGTGGTACCCACTGTTGTTAATCTCCAGTGTCCATCAGCAGGAACAGATGTTGATGCCCTTTGGAGTAAGCTACAGAATATACTTCATTGGGTTATATTGTACTTCCAATTTCTTATCTTTGAACTAATTATGCAATTGAGGACTTCCAATCATACCTTGGAAACTTATCATATGCAAAATCTGGTGGGCATGTTACAACTGCTAGTTCTCCAGACAGCATAAGTCGAACACACATTTCAAATCCTTCAGGTACCTGCCAGCCATGAAAGAAGTTATTCCCTCTTTTTAGTTAACCTAACAAATGAAATCAAGAGCAACCACAGCCATGTGCGTACATGAATTTATATAGAATCCACTTTTCCTAGGATCATATATGCGCGTGTGCATGTGCATGTTCATGTCAATATGAATACATGGATGCGTATACTTATGTATCTTACCTACATAAGCAGATTTGTGTAAATATGTACATATATATGGATGGATTATGTTTTTGTGTTTGTACTGTGGGTTTATATGCACAAATGCTAACATACACGCGCTATAATGGAAGCAAGAATCAAAGTAAGTAAGTATGAATGCACATCAGGAACAAGGGTCCCATCTCCTGCCACAATGATTTATGAATGTCAAACCATGGGTCCGAGACTATTCAGTTTAAGAAGACCATTCAGTTTAGGAATCACCACCTCAAATCCAGAAGCAAACTTTGGTAGAGAAATCCTAAGAAAGAAAGATTTTTATGTTGACCAGGTGGAATCTTCATGACAAGCAAAAATATAAGTTCCATAATGTTTCACCAAAATCAATTAAGAATCTGTTTGTATCAGGGTACCTTAGGAAATCCAGCCCATCCCAAAGAAGGCTTCAATTCAAAGCCCACCAATTGTACAGCATCAGAACCTCAAAGCATTCTTGACTAGTAAAAGCCTCAAATAAGCATTCAAGATAGGAATCCATTTACACCCCATCCCCAACTCTCATTCTTCTTAAGAAGTGATATATGTCTCCTGTCCTTGTAATCACATTACTATTTCTATTCTAAACTTCCAAGTATGTATTTCTATTAAGTTATTTCTTTCCCAATGAAGGAAAAGCCGTAGGTACCCGAGGATGAAGGATGGATGTAAGTAAGATGGCAATTAGCAGAACCCTTGAAAGTTAAAAGACAGTGATGAGTCTTTCAACGATAGGGGAAAAGGACTGCAAAGATGACAAATGATAGAAAACATTCACTGCACATGAAGGATATTTACAAGGATTTGACCTTGTATTTTAGTGATATGGTGCTTGAATGACAATAGGTTTCTGGATCAACAACCATTCTTATTGGCCAAGAAAGAAAAAAAATGAGGGAATTACTAGGTAAAGAAGATGAATCAGTAATCCAGAGAGGAGAAACCAAGAAGACTCTGAAAATGTTGCTCACACAGCCCTTTGAATAACTGCCCGGGTAAACAAAGGACATAATGGACAAAGAAGTGAAAAATTAGTCACCACTGCAACAAAGGGAACCTGATTACTGCAGAAAAAAAAAATTTCTGTACTGGACTCTATTTAATATGTTTTTCCAGCCACTATTAGCAACAGAACTGCAACTCTTTTAATTTCTATATTTGAATTTGGTCTTTTGTAACCAAAAACCTTCTTCCTCGAAATGCATGGAGTGAAAACAATTTTTGTAGTTGGATTGCTATAAATTGAAAGCAACCATATTAAGAGAAAAGTTATGTTCAATCATTGATGCAATATTCACATAAAAGCAGTAGACTCAAGGAAATAAAAGATAGAACTCACAAGGCCTTCTCCTGAGCTGAACTCCAAAGGCTGGCCATCATTTTTGACTCTTGTATCGTAGAATATTGTCCTCTCTTCATCAAGAAGCATGCCCCTATAATGTACACGTAATAGGCTATCATGAAGGGGACAATCCATCGGGAATTCACCTAGTCAAGAACAGCATTTGCAAGTTTAGGTCACATAGCGCAGAAAGGCAAACATTGATTAAACAGCCACACGCTGCCAAAAGGCTAACCAAATCATTCACAAAATGCAAGAGAACATTTGCAACCATTAAGTCTGAGATACACATTAACCAATAATTATAAAGATGACCTTTGCTTCAAAATTGAGAGAATCTACAACAGATCGGAATACCTTGCAACTTATCTTTTCCATTTATGCATGTAGATTGAGAGGAAAATTGATATGAAGACCATTTTAGCTTTCATATACACGGCCCAAAAATGAATAATCTAATGACCACTGTCACCAAAGATAGGATGGCTGATGTGCTACTATCCGGAAAGCTGGGTGGGTATGTACCTGCGTAGCCTAGGCCTACTTCAGCTTGAAGCTCCTATGTCCTACTTATATGCCAAGCAAGAATCCTACTTGGGACCCAAGCCATTGGGAAGTTGGCAAGCTTCACATTATTATGTATTTTATCCTTTCTTTCTCTCCTAAACGCTCCGTCTGGGGGTCTATAAGACCCCTAAAACCCAAAAACCTTTATTCTTAATCTCATGGAGAGAGTTTAGAGGGAGTAATTTCATAGCATTATGCCTACATGAATCTTGTTTGACCAAATATCCACAAAAAACTTTATGCCAAAATTGGAAAACCCAAGATTTGTAAAATATTATGATACCATAAAGTCTAATATCATTGTATGACTAGGGTCTCCCATCATGAATGGTTTTCTGAATGTGTTTCCTATATTAGACTGTTTCAACAGTATCTTTTCCATAACTAGATTAAATATGTAAGTCATAAAAACATGCATAGATTAAATCCATACTTAGTGCTTCTTTCTTTTCATATCGGGTGATTACTTTACGGTAGAAATTGACTGAGCAAAATCAAGAAAAACAACAATAAAAGATTCCCAATGTCCCCTTTTTAGGTCTCAGAACCATTGACATGTATATGCAGACCTTAACCTATAGAAGCTTCCAATTCGTAAAAAATGCCAACGGGCAGAAGACTTTTTTTTTTCAAGAGTCACAGATTAGTGTGTGTAATTTCATGAAGAAACATAACTATGAAACTTAGAGAAACAAGAAATGAGAGCCAAATTAATTTGTCAGTGTGTATCCAAGCCATCCTCACCGCTGCCACTTCATAGAAGCCTGAAAAACAACTATGTTCTGTATTTTGAGGATGCAGAGGAGTTATGGAGAAATGATAACCTTTTCCATCTCGAATGCGACGCTTTATGAGGCGACCATCACCAAGCATGTCTCGGACCTGTCAAAAACCAATATACAGCTCATTAGAAACCCATAGGGCCTAAGAAAAAGAGCAGCAATTGACATTAGAAGAGCAGACTAGACAAATATCTGCACCAGCAAACCTACATAATCCAAGACCTTAACAAGATGATATAGAGCACTAACAATAAATCAGTGAACTTATGACATTATTTGAGTTAAACGACCATTAGAAATGTTTCAGAACTTCCATCCTGGAAAGCTAAAATTAATATAAAAAATCCCAAAACAAGTTGCAAAAGGTAAGAAACACAGTTCAGATATTATCGAACTCAATGAATATCAAAAAGAATTTTCTAAAAGTGCACTATTTCCATGCACTAGTTATATCTGAACCATTTGGATTTAAAAGTAAAACATAATACCAAAAGAAGCAGGAAGAGGGGACAAACAAATTCAATAAATAACCAGACCAATACAGATAGATGCACATTTACTAAAATAAAACATTCTTTCTTTATGCTGGGTGTACCTGAATAATTTGGACCATTTCTACTTCAAACTGGACCTCTTCATGACCTTGTACTTTTGGAAGTAAAGAAGAATCAGTTAAATAAGGATTGGTGACATATATCACCGCCTTCTCTCCTCGTGTCATTGTCCCCATTCCTAGCTCTAATCCTTTAGGTACCTATCCTAAAGTAAGAGTAAATTCCATCATATTGAGAAACACCGAGATGCTTGTATGCAGCAACTATGATTAAAAACAAATGCAACGTGAATCCTGCTGAAAAGGCGACAAGTAAAACAAACAATCAAATCATAATGCAAGCAAAGGAAGCTTTCCTACCAACCTCATTCTTTCCAAAAGTAAAATGAAACGGTTCTCCTTGCACGTGGGACAGAAGAATTTCACCATCAAAGGCCCTTGCCGTAATCCTGAAACATTACATGGTATGACTACCGAAATATACATGGAAACATTTTAGGAATTTGAGATCACCTCTTCCTGAAATGATGAGACCAGGTCCAAACTTCACGTCCTAAAACTTAAAACCTTAAATTGGGCTTCATCTTTTTTTTAAAATGTTAACTTGCGACCTAGTGGCAGTGGAGCTCTAGAGTTCTTGTTGTGGCACCCACAACCCTGACCACTCATGAGTCATGAACTTCCAAACCATGTAAGCTCCCAAAAAAAATTGTGGAGCAGTCAAACTACTAAACTGGGAGGTATATCCACTTGAATGGCATCAGATCGCCCTGTTCAATTAATTCTATTGGTTCAATTCTAAAGGGTAGGACATAGATCTCTATGTTTTTAAGGTTCAAGGGTCAACTCAACTTAAAGAAAAGCTGGTTCAGGCCAAACAGATCAACTGGCTGGTTCAATCCAGCCCAGAAAGCCATTCTTACTATTTCACATATAGAGGGATATATTACGCGCAGTGCATGCACCAATATTTACGCAAAAGAGGAAAGCAAAAGAAAATGTTACCATGATTTTATTTCATATGGATCCCTTGGTGATTCCCAGCCTTGTCCTTCTACTAATATCTGTTCGCATAAATAGGAGAATCACATTTGATCAATGAAATATTGAACAAATGTATGAAAATGTAGTTTATGTCAGGAAGAAAACCCCAAATATTCTAGGTTTCTAACAATGAATACATAGCAAATGCAAAACTTTGCAAGAAAACCAGACAAAACATTGATGTAAAAATACCATAGAAGTGCACAATAAATGAAAAGGCAACCTCAGTGTCCTATAAAACAATGGAGCATGTTGCACCAGTCCAGTTTGTAGAAGAGCACAATGGAATGGAATGATATGCTTGTTTTCATTGATGTACCTTCAAGGATGGGTAAAGCAATATATACATACATGTGTGTAATTTAGAGAAAGTAGACGTAGGTGGCTGAGCATGTGCAGCACAAACTCAGTACGATACCTGTTAGGAGGTACGAGCTGGTTCAAGTGGAAGGCTCAGTAGGCCCAAAAGGACTTGGTTGGTAGTAGTGAGAAAGAATATGGGGACTTATGGCCTCACTGAGGGTTTGGTCCTTGATAGAGTGGAATGGCAGACCAGGATTTGTATAGCCGATCCCAAATTATTGGAAAAAGGTTCTTATGATGTTAATGATGACTTGATATGATCAGTACAAAGGATTTCCTTCATCCCTTTCTCCCCAGTAAAGATACAATGCAATTCATCTCTGGATTTTTTCATGGAACAAAAGATCCAATGCTTTCTAAATGTTATCAGAAAACACATCAATAGAAAGAGTGGCTTTGATTCCAAAACATCACAACAGCTATAAAGAAGAATGGAGGGCCAAAGGGCCCACAGTCCATACAAAAAGTGTCCAACACAGTTGACAAGCACACCCATAAAGAACCATGCATATAACATGGTAAAAAAACTGCTTATTTCATGCATCATGTTGATGCAGGTGCAAGTGAAACACATTTCCTGAAGCATCATAATTATCATTTCACATACCAAGCAGCACTACTATTTTGGAAGTTATCAAAATCGTAGCAAATAAATGTCTGTTATTTTATTTTCTTTTCAAAGCAGTCAAAAAAGCTGGTGATTTAATAACAGTGGTGTACCCTCTTAATAACTCCCAAATCCTTGCTGACAACCTGAAAGGGGTAGAGAAAAGATTTTGTTAGGTACACTCAAAATAAAGATATACTGTACATTCAATAGGTATGTACAGGCAGAAGCAAGATGACAGAAACATACAAATCACCACTGAAACTTAAATTTAAGGACCTTGTTTTTTTTTTAATAAGAACTTAAATTTAAGGACATTTTTCTTTGTTATTGTCTAAGAAGTGGAATATAAGAGAAGGGAACAAGAAGCAGCTAACTTATGAGCTTGAACAATAAACTGCGGCCAGCCAAATAAATAAATACGTGCCAGACAAGATATTGTAGATGCAGAGCATCCATGTCTGAAAATATGTAACAAAGCAGTGTCAAAGATCTTAACTTCCATATGACTATATGAGTGCTCGTCATATAGTAAACATCTCGTAAACATTTATAAGTTTGAGTAAAGGTTGTCATGACTATTAAAAAAATGTAAATTTTGACTTAGAAAAACCTATACAAACTACAAAAGTGGGAAATATTTTTATACTTTCTTACCTTGACTTTGAAAAAATCTATAAGCTCAATCTCAAAATGAAGTTCTTCATGTTTAGGAAAGTTCTCAGCAACAACAACTGGACAATCGGCCTCTCCATAGTGTAGCTCTGGTTTCACCTTCAACTACAGTCCAAAATCCAACACCATAAATTTGTGAAGGTTCCAAGTAAAATCTGCTATTTCTTTCCAAATAAAAAGAAATGGAAAGATTTATCCCTTATGGGTAAAACCAACTTCAATTTGTATCAGTCATCATGGTTGGGCTTGGTGTGATGGAAATCTAAATTGTGAATGCTGCACCAATAGATTGCTCAAGCATCACTCAAATAAAAGTTAAGCGAATGGTAAAAACAGTATGATTATAATCAAACAAACTGAAGATGAGTTCAAACAATAAGAATTCTTCTTAAGCTATCTCGACATAGACTAAGATGCCAAGTTACAAATACAGATAGAAAAAGCAGGGATGTGACTCAACATTTCCCAAAATCCAGGACATATAAAATAGAGAATCAAATAAGTAAGCTGATGGATAAAGCAGGGATGCGACTCAACATTTCCCAACTCTCTTGGTAATTTTTGTAATAATTTAAAGCAATGCAAGTGTGTATGGGTGAAGAGTACAACAGTATATATTACTCCATGTCTACCTCTATAGTCAAGGATAGACAATGGAGATAAAGCATTCCTCTGCTAGATAAACAATTAATCTGCTAGACAAACAATTGCAGACTTGAACAGAGGAACAATTCATAGTCGCTGTTCTTCGTTGATATTGGATGATGGAGGAGTAATCTTTCACAAGATATCCACTGGGTGTTTAGAGCACACTTTCCCAACACAAGTGCATGATAAATATGCTATTAAAAAAGAAAAATAAAAAGTTCTAAGCTGTATGTGCCATGGAACCAAGGACTTTTCAACTACTGAAAAACAAAGTAAACATATATCTAAAACAAACATTTTTTTTTTTTTTTTTTAGGGCTACATATACTTAGAAAAAGTTAAACACATGGGTTGTACTACTTGGTATACCATAGCCACTTCTCCCTTTAGAATGGTAGGAATTCCTTCAGACCATCCAAGTATCATTTTGCTCTTGCCCAACACCAATTTTATCGGTCTACCCTTTCCTGAAACAAGTAAATAGTTGAGTATATGAGTTACCAAACATATGCCATATTGACAATTAATAAATAATGAGAGAAAAATGTTTGTCATGTTTAATGAAATACCTCCAAGTTCCAATCTTGTGGAATCCACAATAACTCCATTCAATGTCCTTGTAGTGCAATGAAAAATAACCTGCAATATGAAAGGTAATTACTTGAATAACAGAAACTTAATTGCGAGAAAATGTTCAACCAATATATTTAGCGGCATTCATTCTGAAACTGCAAGACTCTCTCAATGATCATAACAATAAAATCATCAAAATAATAAGACCATGAATTAGCAAAAAAATTGAGCAAATGGAAAATTTGTCATGAAATAAAATAGAAAGAAAGGCTCATCATATCAAACACAAGTATGTCAAGGGAAAGATAAAGAGGTAAAGTGTTAAAAATCAATCAGAGAAGAACCTCATGAAAAAGCATACGATTCTTAAAGGCATATCACTTAAGATGACAAAATAATAATCAAATTTTCAAAAGAAATTGCCATGTAAGAGAAGCATTATGAAATTCTTGAATCACCCTGATTTTTATACATTCCTAACGAGAATTATCCCAGAACCCAAAGCATCTTGAGGAGAGGAACCTAGAGCAAGAGTAGGGGGCAAATATTATTTAAAGAAGAACTATCAAGCAATCATTGGCACTCCCATTCCAATAGATAATGAAGTCTAATTCCAAAAAATAAAAAAAGAAACCAACGAGTTTGCAATTGCTTTCCAATACGATGGGTAAGTATCATCATCATCAAAGCCCTTTCCCAACTAATCAGGGACAGCTATAAAAATCCTGGTCCGCCATTCTACTCTATCAAGGGTCATACCCTCAGTGAGGCCATACGTCCCTATGTCTTTTCTCATTGCTTCCAACCATGTCCTTTTGGGCCTACTCCCACTCCTTGCCTTTTTTGAGTCTTCCACTTGAACTAACTTGCACCTCCTAACAACTATTGTACCGGGTCTTTGCTGTATATGGCCAACTTTCTCTCATCTTATCGTCAATTTGTACCATACCTAAATTTTTTCGATCATTTTGAATTCTATCCCCACTTGTCTTGCCTCAACAACCTCGTCTTAGCTACATTCATACTGAAGGTATGTTGTTTCTTGACCGCGCCGCATAGAGCAAAGCAGGTCTCAAAGTTGTCTTGTAGAACTTGCCCTTCAGCTTCATTGGTACACGAAGATCACATAAAACTCCGGTTGCAAATCTCCACTTCGCCCATCCAGCTCTAATTCTATGTGCGACATCTTCCCCAATCTCTCTATATTTTTGGATTATCGACCAAAAATATCGAAACTGCACTCTTTTTGGTATTTCTTGGTCGTCAATCTAAACTATTTCCTCATCTCTACTCCTATTATTAGTTTATTACTAAATTTAAATTCCATATACTATGTCTTAGACCGGCTAAGTCTAAAACATTTAGATTCTAGAGCATCTCTCCAAAGTTACTAACTTTGTGTTAATGTCATTTCGGGTCTCATCAATTAAAACTATGTCATCCCCAAACAACATACACTACGGTACCTCTCTTGTAGGTGCCTAGTTAAGTCGTTCATAACTAAGACAAAGAGATATGGGTTCAATGCTGACCCCTGATGCAGATCTATTGTCACTAAAAATTCACTCATCTCTCCACACAAGTTATTCGCACACTAGTTAGCGTCTCTCGTACTGTCGTACATATCTCACCTATAATGTAGTGTCTGGAGACTCCTTTCTTTTCCAACACCCATCAAATCAAATCTCGAGATACTCTATCATAAGCTTCTCTTGATCAATAAAGACCATGTGGATGTCTTTTCTCTTCGCCCTAAACTTCTCAATCAGTTGCTTAAGTAGGAAAAAAGCCTCAGTTGTTGACCTCCTGCATAAAATTGAATTGGTTTTCTGATACGCTGGGTAAGCATATATAAATAAAAAAAATTAAAGGGATTCATTATTATTCCCTTTTAGCTAAGGGCCTAAAGATTTTACCATACATAAAAATGAGACATCTTTCACGCATGTTTCTAGTTTCAATAGGTAATCAAATATGAATTAAAATATTTTGGGAAGAATTGTTTCTTTTTTATAATAATCAAAGGTTTTCTGTGTAGATAAGAAAGAGAAATCTTCCATGCATATGTCCCATCCAAATTCAAGAGAATGATATATGATTGTAGAAAAATATCAATAAATATAAATAACTTATTTCACAAGAAAAATTAAGGTAAGGCACCAATTATTTTACAAATTAAACCAATTATCAAAAAAAAAAAAAAAAACAATTTGCTCGAACAACCTACCTGATCACCATCTTTTGGTCTCTCTAAACCCCCACCTGGTCTTATAATAGCTTTCATGAGACCACCAAGAGGCATATTTTTTTTCCTAACCAAAACAAAGGAAAATATTCAATATCTCAAATAAGCTACTCACAAATGTAAAATCTAAACCAAATCCATAAATGTCCTGAATTCATGACTTCCTTGATTTTACATGACAGTAAATTCAAAATTTACAACACATGATATTCATGTTTTACAAAAATGATTATCCAGTACATGTACGAAAGAAATATATTTGTTCAATCCCAATGTACATAAGTATAAAAAAAAGAAAAGAAAAAAATGAGGCATGTATATATGTATCAAATAGCTATATATATTGAGCTATATCAAACTAGTCTACCACAGCAAAAGTAAGTATAACTAATGCTATTGACCAGGAGAAGTTAAGAGAACCAGAAAAATTAACCATTTAAAAAAAAAAAAGAGGATCACAAGATACCTTCTTTCTTCCTCTTTAGAAATTTTCTTCTTCTCAGGCACAAATTCTTGTTCCTCATCTTCCTCCACGGCCATTTTCCCAGCGCAAAGAAAACACTGCTCACTGTTTTCAAATATCCAACCTAACAAAACATTAAAATACTTCAATTTGCACATAAATTAATTAAAAACCTAACAAAGCAAAACTTTTATTAAATCTCTTTTCAAAATAGCCCGCATAAACCCCAATAGACAACTAGAATTCAGCACATACGATTCATATAAAAAAAAAAACTTGGCCCTAAACTGCTGAAAAAGCGCCATAGACATTAATCTTTAAAGTTTAAACCGTGGAATCAGTGCATCTTTCTTTTATGAGATAACTAGAAAAAAAAAAAAGGAGCATTAAAACTGGCTCTAGAAACCCAAATCAAGAAAAATATGAGAATTAAACGTTATCGAACAACGGAAACAATTCACCTTTCTTTGATGACTCAGAAAGAAATCATAGATAACTAGATGCAATAGCTCTAAATACCCAAAAAAGCAAATCATAACAATTACGATTTATAATACGAATGATTTCATAGGAGTAAAAATAAAATAAAACCATGAAATCTTATGGAAAGCACCTGGTACAAGCAGTAGCAGTTGAAACCCTAGAAATGTGACTGATGTGGTTTGGTTTTATCGCGCCATGGACCGTGTACACTGTAAGTTACTGTGAATACGATGACTCCCACGGACATTGAAAAATATTTTAATGGTAAGGTTTTGTAAGTCCTCCCTCCAAAATGGAGATTTGCATATTTAACAAGGAAAAAGTTTATACCTGAACCGAGCCTCTGAACAATAAAATTAGAGTCCAATTCAAAATTTTCACTTAAACAATAAAATTAGAGTCCACATTAAAATTTTCGCTTTAAGAGGTTCGGGACGTAAGAAAAAAAAAATAGGTTTCTAAGTTTTGGAATTAGTGAGAAAAATAAAATAGATTTCAAGTTTGGGAATTAATGCATCTTGTAACACAGTTTTCGATGGTCAATTTTTAATATTTACAAGATTTCATATATCTACTCAATCAACATTATTTTTTAATTTTAAAATTTTATAATTAAAAATAAAAATATATTTTAAATCTATCACACGTATTTCTAATATTAAAACTACAGTTCTCAATACTATTTGAATGTGCATTTTACTTTGGTTGTTAAGAGCCACAGCCTTATAGAAACCACACAGTTTTAAAAGGAAAAGTATACAATGAAACTATTATGCAGTTACTGTATCTGCACTCTGTAAGTTTTGTTATATGAGTCTGTAAGTTTTGTTTTGTTATATGAGTCTGTAAGTTTTGTTTTGTTTTATGAGCCTGTAAGTTTTGAGTCGTTTTGATTTTTGTTATTTTCAAGTTTGCTTAGTTAAGTTTGAGTCTGTAACAAGTTTGCTTTCAGTTTGCTTTAAGTTTGTAACAGTTTACAGTTGTTATGATAATACGTGTTGTTTATCTTTTTTACATGTGGTCACAATTAATCTTAACTTATAGATAGGAAATTGAGTGGTTGCATTAACTTTGCAACACCCTCAAGCTATCAAATTTCACATCGGATGGTTATAATCAATTATAACCTTCTTGTATAATAGGTAAATAGTCTCATTGTATACAATCCCCTTTTAAAATATAAATGCCTTAATAGAACTAATTATTTGTTTGCCCTGTTGAATGAATGCTTTCCACTTTGATGGATAAAATATCCTAAGCATCTTAAATTTTTTAAAATTTCATCAACATACATTAGGAATTTTATGAGTTTTTTGAAATTGCACCATTATTTGATTTTCCTAGATTTTTTATATTTAAGGCCAATTAAGCGGGACTCAACGAGACTGGCCAAGCCAACCCAAAACTGGATGTGCTTGCTCAGCCCAGTCCATGGCTGAGTCTTGGACCAAGTCCAGTTTTTCATGCATTATTTCCAAATAATATGACAATACAAGGGACCATGCTCACAAGTTACAATAATGATAAACCACTCAATTAGTTCAAACCAGTGTTTTAAAGGTCTCCCGCGACTTGCAATTTACCATTGGCCAAAGTAAGTTACTCAAGTGGACTCGTCCGAGCAATGACCCATATAATTAAACATTGGAAAAAAAAAAAACAACATATGAGAGAGAGTGAGGGTTAGAGAAATGGAAAAAAGATAGAATGAGGGAGAGAGAAAGAGACAAGAGGGGGAGAGAAGAATGAAAATGGGTCAGAAATCATCTGCCTTTAGGGGGGAGAGAGAATAATTGGTTTATAATTGAAAGGGGGTTTTCCTATCGGAAAGAGAGATGAGATAAGGGGGGCTTTGCCCCTTTTTTTGTGACTACCCACTGTACCAAGGTACTCACACCTCGCCACTAGGGCCAGGCCGAGTTACTATCTAAGTTCAAGTAAAACTCGACCGAGTCTTGAAACATTACTAATCAAAAGCCAACCCCTATTCGTTGCTAGTCACTCAATTGGTGGGAAAATATAAAAACAAATAAAGGGAATGAGCTTAAAATGTGTGAATTACAAAGGATATACCAAGAATGGGTGAAGGCCATGTGCTCCATGGTTAGGTGAGCATGTGCTCCATGGTTAGGTGAGCACTATGTCCAAAGTCCAACTACCAGCTATTTTATCATAGAAAAAGGAAATTCTTGAATAGATTTCCTTTTCTCTCATATAGCATGACAAAGTATTGCCACTCACGTGTAAGAGTTGTTATTTTTGGAGGAGGAGGGGTAACTCAAAAGGAATTTAGATTTAATGTAAGCAAACCCACTCAACAAAAAGAACGTTCAATAATGGTTACGCATTTTAGGACTAGCATGCACGACTTTGCATCATGGCAAATGTGGCGAGTACTCCGGGGAAAGTTTATATATAGTTGAGGTCCTAAACATTTAAATTAAGGCGCATTTTAAAAATTCACCGGAAGATGTTTTGATGTTGAAAAACCCTCAAGTTGATCATCTCAACCTCGAGATGTATTGATGTGAAAGAAAAATAGATTCTAAGTCTGGAAAATAGCAGATCTTGTACTGCATTATCTGGGTCATCAGTTTTCAATATTTTCTAGTGTGTATAGATCTGCTCAATCTACATTATTTTTAAATTTTTAAATTTTATAATTAGAGTGGAAAATAAATTTTCAAGCCATCACAAAGATTTTTGCTACCGAAAAATCCATCTTTCGCTACTATTTAGAGATAGTGTTTGCTTTGATGGTTTGGGGCAGCTACCTTATACAAACCACACCTATTGTTAAATTCAACATAGGACATAATATAAAATGGAATCAACAGTGAGCAAGGATGGTAGGGAAACCCGACTACATGCCCCTTACCTTATGCAATGATATATGTTTTTTCTTTTTATGTTTTGTTTCTTTAAAATTGGTTGATCTAAGCGGATAGTTGAGATAGTTTCAGTGTCATTAATAATATTGCATATATAACCATATTTAGTAAATTGTATTTGGATATTTGGGATAAAAAGAACAATTAGAGGCCCTTGACTTTTGAAATTTCTGTGTTACTTCTTTTTCCCTCCATGTTTTTGAAAAGCTTGCACCATACAAAAAACTTTTAAAAAAATAAGCATTATTGCTCAAAGTATGGTAGAGACCTCACATTTTGGGAAAACCATATGTAATTAGGAAAAAAAAAAAATAGAGGCATGACCCTTTCCTTCCAAGTTTCTCATAAGCATCCACCTTATAAGAACCTTTCAAAATAAAATAAAATAAAATAATTATTAAAATAATATATTTTATTAAAATAGGCTTTTCATAGCTCCATTAAGTTAATATATAAATATCTAGTACTTCCCAAAAAAACAACTAAATACGTAATCTTTACATTTTATGGTTAGAGATGAAAATAAATTTTTGGCCATCATAAAGATTTATGATACCAAAATAACATATTTCAATATTAATTGAAGGTGCATCTTATTTTGTTTCTTTAGGGCCTCAACCTTATACAAACCACACACTATATATATACATATGAACCATGTCAATATTACATAGAAAATAATACAATGACCCCAAGCCATCCTATTTGATATCAAATGAGTGTGAATGATTGTAACTTCCATGTACAAAAGATAAATGGTCTCTTTGTAGATAATCCCATTTTCTTTTGACACATTCCTTTTCTCTTATTTTCTATATCTCTCCTCATTTAAATCAGTATCTCAAAGCTCAAACCGATGGGATAAATAATCCATAATGAAAATCTAGTTGGATCGGTCTGAATCGGCAATCCAAAATTTAAAAAATAAAAATAAAAATTTTAAAATAGGATTTAGAAGGGGACATGACTAGCACCGATACCTTTCTGAAGTTCAGTCCCAGCTGATTCCCAATCTAGATTGAAACACTGACTTAAATATCTACATTTGGCTTCCTTCGTTGGCCGCTCAATTGAGTTTCTAACAAATTAATTTACTCTCCTCTCTCCTTTTACCCCTCAAGCAGTACCTTAAAAACTTTTCATTAATCTTTTTTCTTTCTTTACAAGTATGCCAACTTTTATGCAGGGTGCTCTATATTTATATGCAAAACATGTGGCACAAGACATGTGAACCCTATTGATTACAGTCTATGAATCCCCTTCAACCACTTTGTACTCCTGAAATGAGGAGTTTGAGCCCCACTAAGATAGCTAAGGCCTTCTCCTCATCTGCAGTAAGAAACCCACAAGGCCCTGAATACATAAAGAGGACATTACCTTCATGAACTCTAATGATCCCCCAACTCCTTTTGTTCTTAGATTTCTAATCAGACAACCATCAAAATTTAGTTTAATGGTGGGCATGGGTCGGGGATTCCTATTTTTTAATATGTCGATTCTCTGGATTTTCATTCTCGCGACATGTTCAAAGTTGTAAATAAGATCACTCCTACGTATTCCCCAACACTCTTTTCGAACCAGAGCACCATTCGACCATTGTAGCTAGAATGGTTACCAAAATTTTGTTCGTCAGATTTTTCAACCTTCTAACATTCTTCTATTTCTTTCCTTCCAAACATTCCACATAATTGACAACATTAAAGACTTCCCAACTTTGGAGATTGGGGGATTGAGGTAGAATTTCGTCCAATCCAATTACCAAATTGCCTACATCGACATGTAATATATGCAAGGGCAATGAATAAGTAAGTGATCACATGTTTTTTTATCATTTTTACACATCAAGCATATATAACGTAAAATCTTACATCTTCTTCTTAGGTTATCAATTGTCGGCAATTTACCTCGTCCTAAAAGCTAGAAAAAAATTTGTACTTTGTGAGATATTAGAAGGCTCCACATTTTAGATAGAACATAGTCAACCACTCTATCATCTACAGCAAACCATACATCTACATCGGTGAGAGAGAATATGTCTCTCATGTTCTCTCTTATTGATGCCTTATCCTCTCTCTCCCATTCTCAGATAGTATATGGATTTCATTTTTTTCTTTTTCTTTTTGATTATTCATGATTGACAACGTCCCTTTTAAAAAAAATTATTTTCAATTATTAATTCAAAATAGGAGTGACTAAGCTGCTCGATGTTCAATCATAAGTATCTCTATTAAACATTCAAAATAAGAGCGACTAATCTGCTCGTTATTCAATCATAAGTATCCATATCAAGGTTAGGGTTTATCTCTGATTTTTAGGTTTGGAGGAAGTTTAGGTAAAGTTGACACCTTATAATTTACAATTAAGGTGCACTTCAAAAATCTATGGAAAATGCTATTTTGATGTTGGAAAACTATCTGATTGATCATCTCAACATTAAG